GTGTGTGGGGTGGAGGGTGGAGGTACATGATGGCTGACGCTGACGGCACATCCCCTGCATTCTCTGTGTGTGGGGGGGGGCGCAGGCGTTCTGCGTGTGGGGTGGAGGGTGGAGGTACATGCGGGCTGACGCTGACGGCACATCCCCCGCGCAGGTTCCCCCAAGCGGCACCACTTCCAGCGGCAGCGGGCAGCCAGTGAGAGCACGGAGCAGGAGGAGGGGGGCGCCCCCCACGAGGACTTCATCCAGTACATCGCCAGGGCTGGCGACGCCGTGGCCTTCCCACGCCCCCGTCCCTTTCTGGCCAGCCCGCCCCCTGCTCTCGGCAGGTATTTTTCAGTAGATGGAGGTGCTAGGGGTGGACCTGTGGGCCCTTGCCCCGCTTCGCCCCCCCACTAGGCGGCCCAGGGAGCGCTCTCCAGGCCCCGTGGACACGCGCTCACCCGCCTCCAGCAGCAAGGCCCCTCCCAGAGGCTGACTCACTGGGGCCACCTCTCCAGCATGGACCAGAGGAGGGAAGCAGGGAGAAACTGGGTAAGGGTAGGGGGGTGGGTGGGAGGTGGGGCCCCACCCCCGACGATGGCGCTGGTACTGCCGCTTGCTAGTGGAGAACGAGGCCTGAAGGGTTCTGCTGTGGTCCCGGGCCCTCTCCCACCCCCACCACGCTCCCGAGGGCTGGGCGGACCCTTCTCAGAAGCTGCTGTGACCACTCTGGCCAGCGGCATTCCTGCTGCAACCCCAAGGGCAACTTTCCTGAAGCCCAGGGCCCACGTCCAGTGGGATGGGAAAGGGGCGTGGGGCTGGCGCAGAGCAGGGTTCCTGGGGCAGCCCTGGTCTGGGGAGTGACCCTCAGGTCTGTGCACCGTCCTCCTCCTGCTGTTTATCCAGCATGGGTGGGCAGAGAGCCCTAGCCTGGAGCAGTGGCTGAGCGGGACTCAACCGCATCCAGTCCACCCGCTGCGGCTCCCACATTCACTGGGAGGCTGGGAAACGGTGACTCCCAGGGAGAAGCGCGTTGACTCTCCTGGGAGCTTCCAAGGGAGGGGGCCCCGCTGTCTGCAGTCCGGGATGGACGCACCCTGCTTACGGAGCAGGCGCTACAGCTCAGGGTCAATGCAAGACCCATTCCCTGCAAAACACACCGGCCCATTTTAAAGCTCTCACCTTCCCAAGGTCCCACCCGGGACCCACCCTCCCTGATCCCAAGTCCCAAGTCCCACCCGGGCCCACCCTCCCTGATCCAGAGGGCGGGTGGCCGGCCAGGGAGGGGGCGCGGGG